CATCATCAAAAGCATTCAGAATTTGAAATTTCTGTGGTTTTGTCATTCTCTGTCAAGAGTTTTGCTACAAATGCGAATGAAGATATTTCCCAATTAAGAAATAGACCCTTTATTTTTCTTCTATGATCCATAGATCCATATTCTGATGAAAAAAATTCCTTCAGTCTTTTATAAAAAAATGCCAAATCACTCAACGTAATTAACGGCAAAATAATATAGCAACAGTAGTGGTTTGGGTCAGTCCTCCAGTTATCTCTACCACCTACCTTTACAGAAACAGGTATTTTTTAAAAAAATTAAATATGTACATTTGCCTACTCATTAAAAAGTGTATATCCACAAATTCTATCTATTTGTTCTGTTATCACTGAAAGGGTTAATTGCTGCAGCTAGGCCGCATGCAGATTCCTAAACCTAAACCAGATGTAAACTAAAGCCAGGCTTTCAGTCAATCTGTGAGTCATATTTTACTGTCCTTTAAACTCCAAACAAGGAGCTGTCTATGGAAGCCCTTGAAGACTCAGCAGTTCTTAGTGTAAGTCATTACAATTCCAAAAAAAATAAATAAAAGAAAATTAAGAGCCCTTTCTGTATTTGTGACTGGGTTCATCAGAGTTTGTCTTTTGATGAGGCCAGCATTGTTTCCTTTAGATAAAGTCTAAACTTTCTTCTACAGTCACAGGTTGCAGTTATAAGGAATCCAGAAAGCACTGAGGAAGCTGAGAAAGTAGTGATAATGTTGTTCTCTAGTTTTCAGACAAGTACGACACAGGCACATCTCCTGTGGAAGTCTGAGTACTCAGAACCTTAGAAAATTAAGGACATAATTTCAAAGCTCCCATAAAAGCTTTAATACAAGTAGTCTGGCAAGTCTCAATTAAAGGTTAGCTCTCAAATATCTTAAACTACCTTGAAAATCCACCTGACTTCTAGCAGATTCTATAGATAAGTGTGCAATTTCTGAATTAGTTAACAAAACCAGCTTAGTGGAACTGTTAATTACTCATCCAAGCTAATTCATTAGTCTGCTTGCTTGCTTTTTTTTTTGCCTTTTTTTTTTTTTTCTTGATGGGTTGGGTTTTTTTATTCTTTGGTTTGGGGCCTTTGTTTGTTTGCTTTTATTTTTAATTTAATTTTTATATTTTGGGGGTTTGAAAAGAAAACTCCTGTTGCCCATTGTTATCTTTGCCAAAGAAAATGCAGTAAGCCTGAGGGGCAGCTGGTCAGCTGCTCACCCATTTTGTTCATATAGAAATCATTTATGTTTAGAAGAGATTTGTGCTTCCAGGGGCTAAAATTTAGCATCCAACAGAACCAGAGGGAAAATGTGCATCAAACAGATAGATATTCTAAATGTTGAAATTTTTTTTTTCTCCTTTTCAGAAAGGTAAATTTCTGATAATAAGGCTGAGTGCTTTTTATATCACTTACCACAATCACTTACTAAAAATGTTAGTGCACAGCACAGATTGTTTAGTCTCTTTCCTTTTCCATATAGATGCTTCTTAAATTATATTGGCTGCTGTGAAACTTTGTTTTTAGAAAATTGACCTGAAATAAAAATAAAAGAAAAAAATAGGATGAGCAAGCTAACACAATAGCTTAAAAATGCAATTTTTATTTTAACACAGAAATAGAGAATGAAATTAATTATTGAGATACTGGATACAGCTGAAGTCACTATTTGTTTAAATCTCTAAACTGGTTCTAGGCACAGAATTTCACATCAATTTCCAGATCAAGGGCATTTGAGACATCTGACTATGTATGGGCAAAACAGCTACCAGTTTGAATTGCCCACAAGAATCCATTTTGATTGCTTCTGTGAGAAATGGTGTACAGTTCTCTGCAGCATATGATCTTGAGAGGAGATGAAATTAGATGTACTATTGGTTCTGTCCGTTGTTTATATGCTGCTTATAGGTTAAAATTGGTTTAGAGGGCTGGAGAAAAGGTGTTTCTGCCCTTGCCAACCTCTGTTTAGGATTTGACGTCTTTGGAAGGTGTCAAGTGCATAATTTGAGAGTAGAGGATACCAAAACCTTCACCTTGCTTCAAAGCAACAAAAGTGTCTTTATTCCTGCTTGGGCAATTCAGTCTTGTGGCATCAGTTTCTGCCTAGTGCTTGGCTTTTGTGACTGCCTATATGAGTCTCATTTGTGGTGCCTTGAATATCTTTCAATTCCTTCACTATAAGAAAATTTAAAATCTGCTTCAAGTAAATGGAGTTTTTAAAATATGCTAACTTTTTCTAAGTTCTTCAATTGTATACACATCTGCTAAAAGGAGAGAATAACTAAATGTGAAAATAGGGAATGTAAGACTAATTTTTGAATCACTTAAGAATAATCAGACAAGCTTTTGTTTTAGACAAAACTTTTACAAAGTCATCACAGCAGATCCCCTTTGCCAATCTATTCCTTTGATATTTGGGATGTTTAGCTGAGCAGTTTCATGGAGATAAATGTGTTTAAGTATGAAGCTAAAGATAAAAGTTATTAAATTTAGAAAGCTCTTTGTATTCTCACATACATTTTCCCCCCATGTTTTTTCCTCCATCTTGATGAGAAGTTATTAAATACTCTTCTGACACAAGCATTTACCCAGTATCTTATTTCTTCATTTGGGAAGAAATACTGGGAACAGGTATTTTGTTCTACTTTCATTTGATCAACTCTCTAAGTTTTTCAGTTACAATGAAAAATAGCAATGGTTCATATGAATAATGGGGCTTTATATTTAGTGACAAATTACAAAAAAGAATAAATGAGTGCTGTATCCAGCAAGTTATGCAGGGAGACTGCAATTCCAGTCTTGCTGATCAGGAGAATTTAAAAACCTAGGAAGAGCTTACAGGACTGTTCATTCTTTAATGAAAAGGTAACTGATGAACTAATTAGTTTTAAGCATCATAATAATAATTATTATGGTAATAATGACTGCGTTTTTTAATTTTTAAATTGTATGTCTGGATGCAACAAAATATTTTACTCTCTCCACAGCAAGAGAGAGGGATTTTTTTCCCTGTGTTTCTTTTTGATTTTAAATTATTTACACAGTGTTTGCAATTCAGGAATAAGGTAAAAAATGGACCTGAACTGTTATGCTTCTGAACATTAGAGATTTTAGTATTTTCACACAGCAGAAAAGAACAAAAAGTACTCCACCAACAACTGGACAAACAAAGCTATCATTAAATGCACACCCCTTCCCACACCACACATATGTGCACACACAAATCAGCTATGGGAGAGCTTTCAGTATCTGAACAGTTAAGTAAAAGACATTTCATTTTGACAATCAATATTACATGTTTTGTTGAAATGGGTATGGGCTAAGATTTTTGGTGGGTATGAGTCTTCATATATACTGCTTTCACATTGGTTGAGAGATCAGGGATTCAACTAAGCTGCAGACATTCAAGAGTATAATGCTGAACTGCTCTGAAAAATATTTAATCCATATTCTTGAAAAAGTTTATGGAATTTCAGTGATATTAAATGTTATGGTAGGTTCTGTCATCTCTTTCAGCTCTGACATCTATTTCTGCATAAGAGAAAAGAATAATTCAAATTCTGTATATTGCCATCAGAACATTTCCTTTTGCAGAATAGTGCATAGATCCTCTATTTCTTCTTCTGTCATATGTTGTAAGAAAATTCATGCTCACTTGGATCCCCTCCCCTATTTCACATGTTTTGGCTAATGTTTGTTTAAAAACTACAGGCTTCCCATTATCTAATTATATATTATATGACTATATTGGGTGGGTGTTAGTTTTTTTTAAAATTTCTAATATTGCTTCATAAGTAGATTAACAAAGTTGACATATTCATCTTTCCCCTAAAAGTCTGCTGGTTTTATTTCTATTTCTCTCTAAGCTTAAAAAGTAAAATAATATTTACTTGTTGTTATCACCCTGGTTTTACTCCACTTGTGTGGAGTTATTAAAGTCAGTGTGTTTTTCAGTACATGTGCATTTTAAATATTAGGATAGTGCTTTTTTGCTATCTCAAAATATTTTCTAAACCTTTAACAAGTTTTCTGTTTTTAAAGACATAGTAATAATTATTTTTTCCTAAAGAAAACCTGGAGGGTAAACAAGGAAATGCATGTTTGGAATGTGTGCACTTGAACTGGAAATTCTGAGATAGAATCTAGCAGGATTCATTTCTGTTGCATGATAAGAGCTTATCACAGGCTAAAAATATTTCCTTTGGGGTGGAAATTGGAGTTTAACATTCATCTGAAATAATAGTCTCGGGTCTTCTCTTAACCCAAATTAAATTAGCTTGGGTAGTTGGTGGAAGTGTGATGGTACCACCTTACCCACAATAATCTTTGTGTCAGGGCTGCTTTAGGCGCTCGATTCTGTCTTGGTTTTTAGTCCTGGTTTTAGTCTTCTAAAGACTAAAACAAGCTAGTTGTTGTTCAAATTCTCTCATAGAGTTCAAACCATGAGTACTCTTACAATCTTTCACTTTAGTCCTTTTTCTCTATTACTTTTGAACAATGCAGAATTCTTTACCATATCTGTGGTTTTATCAAGTATCAAGCCCTCATCTGGTTTAACTTCCTAAATTAAGGTCATTCCTACTATTTGGTGCAGGTTTTGCATCTGAACCTTATTTTGATTCAGGCACTATTACCTGGGGGCAGGTATTATCAATACAGCCTGGAATCTGAGTTTTTAAATGTGTTCCCCTACAATTCTACCCCTTAAATTTGTCTTTCACCCTCAACACCATTGAATGATTTTGTTAATTTTTTGCTACTACTTATTTAAACTCACAAGCTGACCACAAATTGTTTGCATATAAAAATATTTTACTGGGAATATGACTGTTCTGAATCTATTATCATAGTGTTTGTACTTGTAGTGTGTTTGAGACACATATTCCAGCGATTTCACTGAATATGAATTAAAGTGTCTTTTCTTACAGTATGCAGATCCATGCTATGATGTGTCATCCTAAACTAATCTGTTACTCCAATTTCAGCATGTGAGACAGAAGCAGCAAAAGTTTATCAGCTATCACTAGAAGAGCACCTACAGCCCTTCAAAGACAACATGGAGCAATTCATTAGTCAAGGTAAATAATGAAACGTCACTTAACCTTTTCATGACATTTCAAAGGAAAGTTATGGGAACAGTGTTTATACGTTGTGGGAAAGGGACTGTTTATTTTGGCATCATAGAAAGACATGGATTAGTTTGATCAGATGCCACACAGTTCTAACAGATTTGCAAAATTATTCTCTTGTACTGTAGGTGACTCATTCTCTTTTGCATGACAGCAAAGACAAATGCTGTTGGCTTGAGTGTGTGATCTTCTAAGTTCAACATTCCAGTAGAAAACAAATTTACAGCCTTTGTTACTTGAAAAATTATTGAAGCTGGATTTGTTTCATTAACTTAATTCCAATTAGATAATTCTTTTGTGTGTGCCAAAAACATGGAATAAGCATGACAAAAGTAGTTAAACATTTTTTAGATATACTGCAAATCCACATGAAATATTTGGATGCAATTAATGAATAACACTGCAAGAAAAAATATATTACAAATATCCTGGATCAACTGGCATCCTGAGTATTAGTAGAAAAACACTTTAAAAATAATAGACTATGGTTTGCTAGACCTTCCTTTGATGAAATTATAGGAAATATGGATAATTTTAGGTTTTTACTAATGTATGTCACAGAATCCCTTGAAATTATACTCTGCATTGACCAATTGGCTTCTTAATACAAGTCAGAATTCAATGCATCAGGGTCTAAACACCCTGATGAGTACACCAACATAATTTTAACGTTTTGCTGCTCATTCTTTGATATTTTATATCTGCTCTGCTTTGATATTTTCTCTTATAATTGAAGACCTGTTGTCTCCTGAAAGGCATTATGGGAGAATTCTGTTTCTAGTGCTGATTCATCAATTCACTAATGTAGAGCTACCATATCTAGAAATAGTTATTAACTGAATGTGCTTTGTGTTTGAGAGGCCTGTCAGATATGCTTGTATGTCTTCCTGGTTAGAGTATCCAAGATTACTATCTATCCAAATGTGACAAGTGGAGTACCTGTAGAATCATAGAATGGTTTGGGTTGGAGGGGACTGAGCCAGGCTGCACATGTGCTGATCCATGCTCAATTACAAGGAATAAATTGAGCACACCCAATATTTTTAATTGTCAAATATGGACTGATGTTTTCTAAGACAAGTGCCTACTAGCCAAACCTGGCAAACAGGATGTTGTCTCCAGCACTAGTATGGTATGAACCAATTTAAAACTAGATTCTGGTTATGTATATGGCATAATTGCCATTGCAGTAGTAGTATGATTGAACATGTAGCAAGTGTTTTGCATTAGGTTTATATTATAGTTTTTATGTATAGATAGGAGACATTCAAATCACAAGTTCGTATGATATCACTGTTGGCATACTGTAAATAATGTCTTTTTAACCTTATTAACAGAGTAGGAAATCAAACATGGGGATTATCCCTGGAAGCATTCAGGGCCAGCTTGGATGGAGCTCTGAGCAGCCTGGTTTAGTGAAAGGTGTCCCTGACTATGGCAGTGAGGTTGGAACTCGATCTTCAAGGTACCTTCCAACCAAAACCGTCTGTGATTATACGGCTGTGTTTCAGCAGACAGTAAAATTTTTTAAAAGTGTGTTTTTGCTTTTAGCAACCATTTTTTTTTAAAGTATCTAACTTTAAACTTATTCTTATTTTATGATTTTTGGCTATACTTTCCAGAATATAATTTTATATGTGTTGTATAGTGATCTGGTTTTGCAAGGATATGCAATTTCCTTTGTGATTACGTGTCTGTACTTAAGGAGAGTGAGAAAAACTAAAAGAGAAAAGGATATCCATCCCATCCATTAAGATGTTTGCAATGTTCCCATATTAATAGTGTATGTTGTTGGGTGGTTAACAAAAGGAGAAACCCATAATGTCAGTAAAAATATTACTGTCTCATTTTGATGAAAATAATTGGAAATGAGTATTGTGAACGCAGTAAAGTGTGACTAAACAATTTCTACATTTTTTTTTTAGAAATGTAGGATCTATTATGCAGAATTCTGTCCCAGTGTAAGAAAGACAAAGACTAACATATAGCAAGAAAGAATCCCTGGTTAAGTTCCAAAAATAAAGTAATTTAAATACCTTTCATTATGAAATCCTTTGTTTTTACTTCATGGGATTGAATTCCGACTTGAAAGAGGCCATGTTTAAAGCAGGATTTCTTTTTCCTGTTCAGTGTTTGACAGGCTTTTGATCTAGATATTTTTTCTAGGGGCTTTTGTTGTTTGTGTAGACATAATCGATGAGTCTTTTCAGCTAGACTGCACACGTGATCATTTAGAAAAACAGAGGGACAATTCTTGGCACCTTTTGGAGATTTTTGTTTATATAACATATGCTCTGGGCAAAGAAAAATCAAGCTTTACATTTTTATCTTTTCAAGTTCCAGTTTCTCTAAAGTCAGAAAAAGTTTTAACTTATAATTCAGATGAAAAGCATTTTTCATAAGGTTGAATAATTTGGCATGTTTATATGATGCCTTTCAGAGTAGATAACTTGTGTGCATAATGGGACCTAAAAGTTCAAAGGAGGTAGTTACTTACAGCATATTCACTTATACATATTGCAAGCAGCTAAAATGGAAAATGGTTTTCCCATAGGCAAGAAAACTTGGATACCGAATGTCCTTGGCAAGGGGTTAGCAAGGCTATGCTTTATAAGAATAGTTACTGTCACACACAGCTAGATAACTTTCAGTTATGTTACTGCAACTAGTCTAGCTGATTGTTGCTAATTTATAATTTATAATTATTTTATTTATAATTTATAATAAAAATATATTTTTTTAATGTTAACACTTAGATTCATCAGAGATAGAACAAGGTTGTATATCATTAGCATGATTGCAAAAATGGTTTCATTTGAAAGCTAAAGAAGGGGAAGAGGTAAGAATGTGTTCAGAATAATGAAATTTTTAGGTGGAAATGATAGTGGTACGCGTGATGAAGGCTGTTCAGTATTTGCCTTGCTATTGAAGTCAGTAGGGTAACAACCAGCATGTGCATTAAAGTATGGAAATTTGTGACAGGATGCCAGTCCTTTATTGAGGGACTTATCTTGATTATTCTTAAAATGATCAAGATACTTAGCAGAAGATTAAATTACCTGTACTCTCCTTTCTACATTGGCTTAGTGGATATTGGCAAGCATAATTTACCCTATGCACTGGTTTTTTTAGGGTCTGTGTGCTTCAAAACTCAAACAAAATCCTCTCAGTTCTTCCAGGTTCTCTTGTTTTCTTCCATGTTTTCTCCATCTTGTTTTCTTTTCATGTCTTCTTTTTCAGTCCACATACTGCAATCACATCAAATCATCAAATGGATGATATGGTTATCTTGTTCTTACAAATGTCAGGGTTTTTTTTCTGAACTTCTCCATAGCAATGCAGTTTAAAAAGGGAAAAATTAAAAAAAAAAAAAAAGTGGAAAATCTGCTTCAAAAAAGGAAATTGAAGAAAAGTTGTCAGAAAATACAAAACTTTTCAAAATTTTTTGCTATTTAGGTTTTTTAATAACCATTTATCTCAGCATTTCCAATGTGTAATATATAACTGTGAAATTTAGTAAAACAATTGTCCTTTTCCAATGAAAATTTATTCATACCAAACAGTTTAAAACAGGAATTAAGGATTTTAAACAGGAATTTAAAATTTACATGTCTCCAATATAGCACGTATAATTACATTTTCTGTCTTTGTGTTATTCCTCACAAGTTATGACAATTTGAATTAGAGAGAGACTGAAAGCAAAGAACTGTTTGGGAACCTTGTCTCCATTGTTCCGTATGTAGCTGTGAATAGATAGGAATGCAAATACATGAGAGATCACATCCACCAGTTTAGAAAGTTTCAGAAATCACTTCTTTTCCTCATGAAAATGAGTCTGAAATGACACAATGGGGAAATGCTGAGTGTACTAATTACCATGCAGTTTGTAGAGGAATTTCATTAGCAGTTAGTAATCCTTTAACCTTGTCCTCACTGGACATGTTAGCCAGCTCACACTGAAAGAATTGTATGTGCATGAACCACAAATGATTCATAGTCCCCAGGTTTTAACTGTGGTTAACTTTGCAGTCAAAAGCAGTCTCTGGGTGTCTGCTGTTGGGATGCTGTCTAGGCTGTGCATTCTTGTCATCTTGATAAAGCAGGAAACTTACGGCAGGAGGTAGCAACCATCACTCCCTCAGAATAGTAAGTCTTTTTTGGGACGTGGGGAGTTTCAGTATGTTGAAATCACAGCTTTTCCACTGAGATTCTATAAATTGTGAAAATGTTGCAGACTTCAAATCTGAGCAAATCATCCTACATCATATTAAGAATCCAAGCCAATATAATAAGTTTTAGAGTTCAGAAAAAACATCATGCCATGGGAGAAGTACAAGCAGTTTGCAGAAGTAAAAACAAAAATTTCTGATGTTTGGCTAGTTCATTTTAAAAGCAATAAGAATTATTCCAGTGTGATTTTACGTTTTGGACCACAGAGTAACCATTCAGTATTTGATTCCTTCTAGTCTTAATTTGCAAAACTGCAGTTCTGCTACTGTAAGTTAATACAACCATCAGGTTTTGTTCTGCTGGACCCAAGAATATAGACTCTTCTCCAGACCTAAATTCTAATCACATCCTCATGATCTTACAGAATACAAATCCTAAAACTGTCCTGTTGGTTGAAGTGTCTGTAACTATCTCCTCCTTTTGCCTGGAAGAGCATTCAGTTCTAACTGAACAGTTTCCAAACTGTTAGTAAAGGAATGTATAAATCACAGTGAGTTCTGTTAATTGCTGTAGCTGCAATCAGGTAGTTGTCTATGACTAGTTCTTTTAAGTAAAGTAACAAAAGGCTGTGCATCATCAAATGATGGATTGTGAATGAGACTAAAGCATCGGACTGAATCTTGGATGTCTGGGTTGAGTTCCTTGCTCCAGAAATACTATAGATTGCAAAATGAGTGCTGCTAGGGTAATCTTAATTCTGGCCTTTTCTAACCCAGAAT